TTTGCTAAACGAAGTGGACTTGGCCAGCTTGCTGTTACTAAATACTGCCCTCACCCTGCACGGATACACCACGATTTCTCTGGAAATTCATTAACTGCTGCTAGCTCCATCAATACACCATCTCGCTCCTGATAAAGACATTGGCAGCTGTTTTGGACAATGAACCAAGACCTCTGAACACAACTGCAGCCTTTCATGTCCATGCAGCCTTTTTTCTAAGTTTATCTACAGTGTAAAGCTTCTAAACCTTAGCACTAGACCAAACTACGCAGTTGTTTCAAACACTGCATTAAAATACCATCCAGCTACTATAAAAGGAAAAATGAATGGTTCCAGGAGGCAGCTCTGTGGCAGACAAGCCAGCGTGGCTCTGAAGATAAGATGCAGCTGCCAGAGGTAAATATAAGCATTATTTATGGATGTGGTGTCCTTGCTCATTTAAATTTCAGCGAGCACTGGAGATGCAGACCGAGAGTGGACAGGCAGCTCTCCCCGCAGGGCTGCAGACGCATGGGGTCTACAATCAAGCCCACATTTGCCATCGGTGCCACAGCAAGGAGATGTCGCTACTACAAAGCAGTGGTGATTTTTACCTTCAAAACCAGGTCTCTCCTTGACTGCCTCTCCTTAATTTCAGAAATACCAATAGCTCCAGCAACACAGAGATGTACTCAAATGGTAATACCATGATCAGACATCATCTCTTAACAATATACCATGATTTACTGAATGATCAGAAAAACCTGATGGTACATTATGCTTTGTGGGGTCTTCTTGAAGAACCACATGCTCATTCTGTAATCCTTGTAATACCCTGAGGGCAGGATACACAGACTACGCACCAAGAAACAACAGATCTCACCTTGAAATGGGAGGTCAGTTCACAGTTTCTCTGCTCCTGGCTATGGCCCTGCTTAAGCAGGTGCTGCTATCATGTATCTCGTACCCTCCTGGGTGAAATAAAGTAAAATGAAATCTGTATGTGCTGGGAAGAACTCGCTCAGCTGAAGATGCCGGCACAGGAAACTGCTAGTACACAGGAGGCAGTGCTTTTGCTTTGTTAGAGTCCTACCTTCTTTTGGGACTTCAATGTAGTAATTTAACCCATTAACCTGATTTAGATCCTCCAAAGTCATCCAGCAGAACAATTGTATGCAGGCAAGAGTCAAAAAATCTTGACTTATTAAAAGAAACACAGAGTTGACAAAGCCAACATTTCTGCCTAACTTAAAAATGGCACACAACTCATGGGTGCAAAGCCATCAAGAAAAGTCATAAGAAGTACAATACGAATAAACAGAGATGAGACGGTTGCTAATTGCAGCTGGCTCCTTCAACACTGTACGCTTCAGGCTGCTGGGATGTCTGTCAGCAGGTTGTCCCCACAAGGACATTTTGCAGTACCTTTTACCCAAGCATCAAGATGTGCCAGAATAAAATATCTAGTTTTACATAAATTACTGCAAAGATGAACAGAACAAACCCAGGATGACAGCCTGATATAAATTTATAACTGTCATGAAGGAGAATGTTTCAAACGAGGAGTTGCCAAGTGCTCAAACCACTGTTTCAGGAAAAAAAAAAAAAAAAAAAAAAAAAAAAAAAAAAAGCAGCCCCAAACCACAGGACAGTGTTTCTAATCAGCGTACAATAACAACGCAGTGAGCAAGCATGCAGACAGAGAGGAATGCGGCATCACTGCAAATCCAACAAAGGCATCCTCTCCATGTGCTTGTGGGACTACAGCTCTGGAAAATGGAAGAGAAAAGGCTTGACTTGCTATAATATAGGCCAGTCTCAGCTCTGATGCCTCCAAACCGTGGAAGGAAAGGATTACTTCAGGCCACCTGCGTCTCCTCTGCCTATTCAAGACTATTAAGGGGGGGGTGACAATTGTCATGGCAGGACCCTGAGGTTACATAGGAGCCAGGCTGGGATCACAGAATGATCACATTAGCATTAGCCATTTCATGGGAAGTATTTCTATGTCGAGTTGTCATCCACATACATTCCAACACTGTCTGATGAATGGGATCAGCAAACATCAGCCCCTGTGCAGAGCACAGAAAGTGAAACAATGCCTGAACCCCTATGGGCAAGTCCAACCACCTGTACAGAATATGGTATGTGTCTCTTTAGTGTGGAGTACGTGCACATAGGAACCTCATTAAAGCTCAAGAACCCACCCCAAATGTAAGATCTCAAGGCTTTTTACATAAGAATGTTTATTTCAAATTAAAGCCCCATACTTCTAACTCCTCGCTAATAACCCAAAATTCATAAAGAGGTAGAAGACAACGAAGAAATCCAGGTCTGGAAGTGTCTCATCTACAGAGCCAGTGGCTCCATGAGGAGACACAAAATCTCAGCGACAAACTTTCCCAATATCCTGAGCGATTTCATCAGTGATGTTGGAGGTAGAAGCCCAATGCTACTTACTCCCACTTCACCCATAGAGCCCAATAATTTATTATTTCCACTCACGGTTTAGACAACAGGTTTCAGAACCAAATAAAATTCCTTAGAAATCCTTCTTTTTCTGAGTTTTCCCTCTTCTTTTAGTAACTGCTACACTGTGCAGGTTGCCTACATAAAATTGTTCAGTCCCTTGGAAGGCACTTGGTAGATCCAAGTTGTTCTTCCTGATGGTGTAAAAAAGCAAGCACATGCCAAAATGATGTTTTTTACAACTCTTTTTTGAGAGCCACTGCAGTACAGCCTTTTCCAGACAAACTCCTCTGAGACTTCCAGTGTATCAACAAGCTATGCAAAAAACATCAAGCTTTTCAACATCTGAAACATAAAGTAGCTGCTACTTAGATCATTGCTCTATCAGGAAAAGCAGCTGCCTATGAGTTATAGGAGTTGTGGTGGGACAGTCATGTCTGAAAAGCTTCAATCACTCTATCCATTTGAGCCAACTATAATGCTCTTTTGTAAAACACACAAGATGAATAACCAGCCCATTGGTTCCCAACAGTGCAACAGTCCAATTAGTCATGAGTGGGATTATCGGACATCAGTATTCTTTGTAAAGTCTCAAAATGTCAAATGAATCCTACTCTTCCTTCCTGATTCCGATGGATCTGAATCTAAGACACCTCTCCTATGCCCTGAGACAGAGGAAGACCAGGAGAAGACCTCTTATCATGGTGAGGTTCCAGTTAAAGCATCTCAAGTTCTGCTCTAGTATGTCAAGCACGAGCAAGTCAGTAGTGAACCTGCTACCAGAGAGAGGTCATTGTCAGGTAAAATTTGGTGGTCAGGATATTAATGTTGTAAAGACAGTGGAAAAAAAGCATGAGTGATGCCTATTTTTTCTTAAACACAATTCATGGCTTCTTACAAAATAATCATGGAGATTACATCAACCTCTCCTACTAGAGCCTTGTGCTCCTTTGTCTTTCCCCACAGTCACCACAATCATCACACCCTGATCTTTCATTTCTTGTACTAGATATTGGTGACAAACCTTTATAAGTGAATACCTGAGAGTCATGAGCATAGACATCACAAAAAAACATTTTGGAAAGCACCTGAGAAATTCATGCTCAGCCATTTTAGGTAGCAAGAGGGCCTCTTTGATCTCAACAGAAGGAGTATCTAGGTAAGTCTGTTTCAAGCTGTTTCAATACAAAACCTGGTGGCCCAGGTTAAAATATTAAAAGAAACAGTTTAATCTAACTTGCCAAGTTTTGCAACAAGGTGGTTGAAGGCAGATTGCTGTGCGTTGTTCCATCATCACAGCTGTTGGGAAGTAACCTCCAGCAGAAAGGTAGTTATAGTTACGTTGTAAACTTTTCTAGCAATTTCTTAAGCCTGTGCCCAAGATGCAGGAAAAAAGTACAAATACCACATCTACTATATGTCCATCACAAAGACATAGTAAGAGCGTTTGTATGCCCTTTGTTAGGAGAGATTCAAGCCTTGCACAAAGGCAACACTTAACTTTTAAATATTAAAGCTCAGTAAACACACAATCTCAAAAGGGGAGAAAAGATGGGGGTTTTTTCCTGGAAAAAAGGAATTAAAATATCTACAGCTGACCCTAATGACAACACATCATGTGCTTGCTTACTTGCGACACAACAGACTGCTCTCAGAGACATTACTCAAGGTGTTGCAAATTCTGATACAACCACATGTCAACAAGGGAAACCGAGGGACTGAGCGTGGTGTGATGCCATGCTCAACGTTCTTAAACTGGGGGAGGAGGATACAAGAACACTAGATGCAGAAATAGCCAAAACAAGTATTGCAGCAGAATAGAGCTTATATACTTTGGAGAATATAAGAAGAAAACAGAGGTGCTTCTGTTTACCTGCCACAGAATATAATTAAAAATTCCTGGAAACCACGTATTTAGAAAAAAACCATGTATTTGCTGACTTTGTAATCCTGAAACAGACCATAACAGAGAAGTTAAACATTTCACACGGTGCTAGCCCCATGGTTAGCAGTGGTGCAGACTACACTCAAGTTTGAGAGTGGCTGATGGAGTTGTGGCTGCTCCAAGGACCCAGGTTGTGAGAGGTCTGAAGAAAAGATAATGGGAATCTCCTACAGAGGATCTCCAGCTCCTCCTGTACAAGAACCATGACTAATGTAGGCACTTAGGACCCCACCAAAAATGTCGTGTAGGTCTTAGGTCACCACTCCGCTGTGGGATGAATCAGTGCTACAGTTTAAGGAACAACATATGAAGACTACTACTTCTATCATACACACTCAGCAATGCACACTTCTGCTTTGGAGAACACTTACACAACTGTAAGTCATTAAAACAGTTAAAGACTATCACAGAATACAGCGCTAACCTGCTCTCCAGGAATGGCATAGAAGGTAAAGTCAATCATTTTCTAGATGCATACACATTAGCTTCTCCTATATTATTTTTACATAAATACTGAAAAAAACTCTACCAGAGCTGAGTGTACATCTCAAAGCATTGAAAACCATCCCAAGAGTTCCCTTTTTAATAATAAGCATCATGTACAGACCTCTGCCAGTTTGTACGGTAAGATCAGCTTCTCTCCTACTGTCACTGTCTTTCTGGTAACCAGGGCCTCAAACAGCATCTCTTCTTTCACCTAAAACAAAAATCTTGATGTTAGTGATTATTCTAGGAATAAATTTTTTAAAACATAATTTTTTAAAAAAATTAAAATGTATAAGTGTAAACATTTTCATAAATTTAATTTTAAAATAAGTTTAAAACAGTTTTGCCAGCCCTTGCAGAGTTAATGGTTCAATGCATAAGAACAAGCTAGCCATTGGGAGGAGACAACTCAGCACATAAATCCAGCATCAGAAACCAGACACCATGGTATTCAAGAGAACCTGATTTTCCACATTCAGTCATTGCATTTCTAGCAATTTCCCATTGGTTTCCTTCCTTCTCAGTGCAGCTCCTCCCTCCCACACTTTTTGCTGGCAAAATAAGTCAACTTTCTAGTGTTGTCAAGATGACATCATACAAATTACTCTACAAATAAGCAAAATAGTGTCATCCATTCGAGATATATCCAAGTGGAGGGTTTTTTTGGTGTTTTTCAGGGTGGGGAGGAATTAGGAGGAGGAAGAAACCTTTTGAAAAGCACCTGATATTTACTCTGCTATTCGCACCTGATATTTACTCCCTAAAGACGCCAGTTCCTGGTGAGGTGACAATCTCTAATCAACTGTAACAGAAACCAGTTTGCAGAAAAAAAAATCAGTTGTGTAAACACAGATATTTCGGCAAATAGGTAAACGGTGCCAACAAATTAAGCAGTGCCTGCCATGAATTGTTGGGAGAAGCCTCTTTTCCAAGCAGTTTCAAGTCCCTTTTATTTTGACACTCCTGGAAAAATTCTGAAGCATTCCTTCTCTACCAGAATAGACAGTGAAAGGCTTACACATAAGTTAGACCTAAATACTTTGCATCGTTGACTGCTCTTTGCTAAATATCAATGCCAAAACTAGAAATTGTTAGTCTGGGTGAAAATCTCTGAGCCCAGAGTTAGTAGCTATGGATTGATACAGAGATGTTGCTTCAGAAGCTGCACCAAAGTCTATACAGGCCGCTTATCCTAACTGAAGGCCTCCATGCAGACACCAAACCTGCTCAGAACATCACTGATGAAGACTAGAAGCACCAAATCCACATTTCTGAAGCCATCTAAGGCCATACTTTTATCCCCGGTAAACCATTTATGGTTTGATGCGGATGATGGGAAACTTAGTGGTTTATGTACTTTGGCTTATTGGTTTAATCCAGTAATTAGTATGAAGAGCAATGCAAACAAGCCAGTGGAACTTACAAAATTTCACAAAGCATCACCATAATTATGCTGTTCTGTACAAAAAACTACTTTCTACCAAAAATACTGTCATGGGAGTCTCCCTGCTAAACTCCAGTGCATTTTTATATAACTGACTTTTCCTGCAATACCCACTAACAAGAACTTGTTGCTGTGGTGTGGAAAGCAGAAAACATCAAGTCACCTGTATATGACTTTCACCCACCAGCAAGGTCTATGTCGCTAGAAATCGAATGTCAACACCTTGAGGTTTGTTTCATTAGTCCTCAGTAATGCTGTAGAGGCCCTAGTTCTTACGATCTGATTTTATGTTTAAAAATCAAGCAGAAAAAAATAATCTTCTGGTTTATCCGGAAATCCACAGCAAGTTTTCATATTTGGTTTCTATTCCTCTACATTCAGCAAAATGGTGATTTTTTAAATTTCAGCTCTGCAGGCAAAACGCAGACACTTTTCCAGCAGCTTGTGACTGCAGGACCATCGGCTGCCCTCCCTCAGTTGCACAGCTTGGAACAAAGGTGAGTTTTACACCATCCTTTATCCCACACAAAGGAGGGATGCTCCAAACTCACAGCCAGCATGCTGGCTTTTTTTAATTATCAAAGGCAAAAAGGCAGAGGGGTATCAGATGGTTACTAATCAAAACAGCGCAATGTAATACTCCTAAACAACCTAAATGCTTCCAAGTCCCAGATTTGTTAGCAAACACAGGGATTTTAAACGGTTTAAACCACTAGCCATGCCATCCCTCACCATCCCCATCTAATGTTTACCCTGGTTTCCTTCTCCCTCTGCTCTCCTGATGGATGAGACCTGCAGATGTGCATCCTTCATCTCCAGACCTGCTGCAAGCTGACGTGGAGAGATCACATCAAACCATCTTCTCATACAAAAACATACTTGGCAAGGATGGGAACATAATCCCTGCATCTCCCTGGGTCTCTGCCTGCAATTACCACCCAGTGGAGCTTGATCTTGATTGCTTCATCACCTCCAAGAGCCAACACCATGGGTGCAGCCAAATTATCCTAATTTTCATTTAAGGTCACAGCTTGAAGGTAGCTGACTCCTGATGCCAGCGAGGAGCCATAGGAGCTTTCTAAAGATAAAATCGGCACATGCTGATGACTAAGGACAGCTGGTACATGGAGATACTTGCAGATTCCCCATCATGAACATCCTATGCTTCGTCCTCCAGTAAGCGTGATACGCTAAAAAAGAGACAAAAACCATCCTAGCAGATTAGCAAAGAGGAGAACACAACTTATTTCTTTATTTTGTGCCCTGGGAGTTACACATAAAAGTTACGTTTCATGGATTTTTGCTTTCTGGTGCTAAAGGGCAAGTCCTGCTCTCCCTCTTAAAAAAAGCTACATGGCCCATGAGTTTATATCTTAATTACAGGGACAAAATACAGATTTAAGACTTCACTGCCACATGCAAGTCGAACCAACACTGAGAGGGCTGGATGACTAGAGCTCTAAAACTCAGTGAAGGATGACCTGCAATGCTGCCACGGCTATAAACGTCAGCAGAGTGTGGCAGGGAGCAGACAGCCAGTGGGCTCCCGCAAGGGCTGGGCTGGAGCCAAGGCAGGCGGAGATTGCTTCTCCAGTAATGCTGGGGTATTATGTTATAGCAGCTGAAGAAAAATGAACCACTTCCAACTTGAGAGCAAGAAAACATTGCTTTTTGTCTCTCCTCCCATATTTGAGAAAGGGATTACAGCATTGAGCGCTCGTTCAAAAGCTGCCTGGTGTGGAGTAACAGAAAATAAATTCAGATTTCTATCAGTTCTTCTTGAAAAAGATCTGAACCTTCTCTTCAGACTTTCTTTCAAACAACCAGAAAGTTATCTGACTTGAGTTCTGGCTCAGAGCTTCGCATCCAAGGAAGATGAAGATGTCCCTGCTCATTGCAGGGGTGTACTAGATGAACTTTGGAGGTCCCTTCCAAGCCAAACCATTCTATGATCCCCAAACTTTGTCCAGAAAATGGATCCAGAAGAGAAGGCTGGATGCAAGCACTGGCTGCTTTGTAATCCTCACCTCCCTTTTGCTCCCCAATTACTTTCCAAGATGTTTATCACACGAGGAGCATGTCTGTGAAATCCTTCTGGGAAGCTGAAGACAATTTTTTAGTAGAAAAAGAACTTGAGCACATAAATCTCCCATGGAGGTAGACATTAGCTCCAAAAGCTAACATCATCAATGCAAAAAGAGATCTAGCAAAACTAATTTAAGACACTTGATAACTTTTATTTACCTTTATTTGCATTGAGACTGGTCACCTAGGCCTAAAAACTGAATACAAAACTGCTCCACTGAATGAAGATGGAATGTGCCTTCCTTACTCCATGCTCCATCCACGGAAATAATTTCCAGTATTAGTAAATGTACACAGTTAAAATGTTCCTGCTTTTCTAAAGGAAAAAAGGTCAACTGACACTAGATCATTTCTGATAGATTGCTTTTGTTAATAAGCCCACAAATGAGCCTTTCCAGGCTTTTCCCCAGAAACACAAAAGTCTCCCCTAGTTTTACACAATCCTCTATGATTTCTGCAGAGGACCCGTGATATTTGCAGCACTTGCACAGGACTCCACATCTGCTTAATCCATCAGGCAACCTTGACATCACACTATGGCATGGCATTTCAGCAAAGTTTAAACAAAGGCCATGAAAAACCTGCCAAAAGCCTCACATAATCCACACGCTATGTCTATTCTAGAGAAAAAAAAAAAAAAAAAAAAAAAGGAATCAGGGTCTTACTGTAAATGAAACAATGATCTGCAGAGTCTGGCCAAAATCCTATATTGCAGTTTGCTTTTTCAACAAATGCTAGTCTGAACGTTTTAATAAACCAAAAACATATTGGACAGTGTTGTTGGTATCTAAGAAAAGTCAAATCCATCGCAGATCATCATCTCATCCCAGATTCCTTAAAAAAAATCTGCATACTAGCTTCATTTTATAGGGACACAGATCTTGTTATACAGAGGAAGGATAGTTGTTCGGTGTTCTTGCAGTAACTGCTGCAGTGGGGAAATTCCCCCAGTTGTCCTTAGAGGCTCAGAGGCTCCAACATAAACCAGCTAGCTCATGATAATTTGGGCCAGACTTTTCTTCGGAGAGGGAACACACCTTAGCTTTGCATCCTGCACATTGGTGCTGTGCAGGAGGACCTCTGCATCCCCTCTTCTTGGCTGGTCTCAGAGGTGGCCAATGCACCTCCTGCTTCTCAGAGCCCTTCCACCAATTCCAGTTAGACTTTTTTTTTTTTCTCTTTTCCATGTCAAATCCTTGACTGAACAAATCCAGCAAGTCATTTAAGGAAAAAAACCTAAACCAAAACACCCCCCAAAGTAAGTATCAGATCACAGTAGATATCGTTTCTTCCATCATTTTGCTACACTCAAGACCATCCTGCCAAGCACCCAGTGGCTGTATGAAAAGAAGTTAAACTATTTGTCAACTAACGTTATTTAATTCCAAGATGATTTTTTAGTCTTAGTGAGTAATGCCAAGATCTAGAGAGGAGATTAATAACTTTTTCAATGCATTTCATATTTTCAGCAACAATAGTGTGAAAAGCAAAACTGTATACTGTTCAGTGACCACAAAAAAACCCGTAATAAAAATAATTACCCAAATGAAACAAAAAACAAAGTGTCAAATGTTTCAACCAGTATTTTTGGTCTCTGGCTGAGAAGAATTCACTATACTTAATTTGGAGAGTTGTAAGTAGCTAACTAATGAATAAAGTGCAATGGATGCTCTTTGTAATGAGGTTTCATCTGTTTGAACCCAGTAGTCCTCTGTTTTGGTCAAATCTGAATAAGCATTATAAGATCTGTTCAGGTCTGCAAAGAAACAGAAACCAAGCATTTCAGAAAGAGAAACCAAGTCTCTTCCGAAAATGAGATTATTGGCTTTATTTCAGCTGATCGGGGAATGGGTCTATCCGAAAGTTTACACTTGGAGGCAACCAATGTCTCCAATTCCATTGCTAAATTACCATATAAATGTAACTTTAAGGACAAGCTACACCATTTACTCAAATGTATTTGGGTATACATCTGTATATTTTGGTATACCCAAATACCCAATGTATTTCACAAGATCATACCTGAGATCTGCATTGTCCTGATCTAATTAACAAGCATTTTATGCTGTATACAGTCATTTAGCCTGCAGAAGACATACCAAGATGAACAGCAACCTATCACTTCGCTCAGCTACACCAGATTCTACTGCTTTTTCAAAATGGTGAAGTTAAATACTTATATATACCTTCCCCCCCCCCCCCCCATATTGTTGACACTATCTGCAAGTGAGCATGGTATCCATGCTTATGTTGTACCAGACCATGGCACTAAGCCATCACTGGATCTATATGGCTCAATCGATGCATCATTTCACATGTACACATGCAAAAAATAACCCGATACCTTACAGCATGCAGATGTTGCAGAAGAAAGCCAGGGCAAAGACCCAAAATCTAGAACTATTTCAGATCTCTTAGTCACTCTCTTATTTAAAGCTTTTTTAAAAAACAACTACTTCTTAAATGACTTGGCGCTCTCGCTATGGCCATTTTTAAGAGGGTAAGATCAACAACATTCTCCTCCAATCTCCTATTTTCCTTCTGTTTATTTCTGCAGTCTCCAGGGCCAAGATGCAAAGAGCATCCAGCTGCTTATAACCATATTTTACAGAAGCTTTCCACTCCCTAAATTCAAAGCATTAATGAAGTGCTATGAAAATCTGTGAGAGCCAATTCCCGAGTTCTTTAGGTAGTGAGATAGCACAACCATTATTTAAGGGAAGGAATGGGAAGAGCCTCACGTGTACACAAAATGACAAGTTATCTTCTGATGCTATCATAAAATTAGCAAAAATTAACCTTCCACACCATCCAGCGAGTACAAAGGGATAAAGATAATAGCTGTTTTAACCATCTACAAGTATAACATTTCAGTATCCTTTGGAGTTAAAAGTGGTTTACAGCATTTCAAGAAAAGTGAGATGGTAAGGAGAGCTTCTGACCACCTATATACACGTCAAGACATGTTGAGCCCAGCTCTTGAACACGTAACAGAAGCACAGGACAAATTGGCTCACTGAAATGAAGACTTTTCTCATGAACAAGTAATGCCACAGCTTCGTAACCTGCTTGGGCTAGCAAATTAGCTCTCCTAAGAACTTACATAGTGCTTCTGCACTGATTTACAGAATTGGATATGGCCCTGGGCCATCTGGGCCGAGACATACAAACCCTTCCCAAACGATATTGGCACAGAGGTGAGTCACAGAGGACAAAGTGCTTTCAGTAAAAGGTCTTAAAAGCAGATAGCATCAACAGGTTCACAAAAGACCTAGATAAATGCGTGGATAATAGGTCCATAAATAGGTACTAAAGGGATGAGATGCACCCTCCAGCATCTCTAATACAACCTTTGTGGATGCTGGCAGGGTAACAACAGACAGTAAAACACGGTGAGCAAGCTCAGCATCTCCTACAGCCACCACCTGAACCAGAAGAGCGGGCTGATGGTCTTAAAATTGCTCTAGTTTCTTACATAAATATTGGAACAGGCTTCAGGACCATCAGGGAATTTTGGTGGGGGAGCTGATGGTTGGCAATTGAAGAAACTACTGCATTGAACGGTAGGTTTGCTTTCCATGTAGAACCAGTTTGCAATCTTCCAAATTTTAATCATAGAAACAGTATTTTCAGTCAATTAAAGCTGAAGCTGAAGAGTAGAGGAAAAAAACCCTACATTAAAAACCTCATTAAAAAAAGTCTTTATAAATTTTCACTGGCAAACACAAACAACCCATATGAACGGTAACACAAGAGAACTTAACTCTTCAGCAAAACTGGAAATAAATTCTATTATAAAACAGAGGTGGCTCATTAGGTGTGAACGTTACAGGACAGAAAGCGAAGGCTTACCTCCAGCAGGTCTGACACAATAGGTAGTATTTCAGGGTTACAAATATCGATGGAGTCATCCCGGTAAGTCTTCTTTTTGTAACGGATGTTACCCAAGTGTAGTATTGCCGACAAGAGAGAGAAAATTCTAAAGAAAATAGAGAGAATTCATTTTCACTCAGTTGTTTTTTCTTAAAGCTAATGAAAAAGCAAACCACATCCCCAAACATCCAAGTGCCATCTTTGTATTTGACTCATTCCTCTAATTTTCAATTTGAAGTAGTTTATGTCTCAAATCTCCAAATATTTCTTCAAAAATGATTCTCAAATGAAGCATCCAATTTACCTCATGTAAAAAATATTTTCACTTAGTCAAGTACCAAACTTGCATTGCTTTGGCTTTCTTGAAAATTATTTAATACTTCAAACCCATGGTTATAAAATGGCACCCCATATTATAAGAAAAAAAGAAATCCTCAAGTAATCTAGATATCCAGATTAAATATCTATCAAGCAATTGTCTAAATTAAGGGCAAGACTGGACTCAGCCATGCAGGAGATCCTTCTTAAGTCCCCTGGCACATGTAGTTATCACCTTCTCAAATCTAGTCCCAGGTAGGAAGCCTATACAAAAAAGCATAAATGCTTTTATAATATATAAGCATACTGAGACAGAGAAAAGACATTACACTTCAAGTAAATTTATCCAGCTACTTTTTCTTTTTTTTTTTTGTTTTGTTTTTAATTTGGTCATTTTTAAGTTATATCCTCACTCCTCCAAAAAAAAAAAAAAAAAGCTCTTTGAGACTATCAAATCATGGCTGACTTCAGCTATAAACTCTGCTTGTCCCTATTTCTACACTCTCTGGGGAGCTAAAAATGAATGAAATCAAATTTGATTCCTAGCCATGCCACCAGCTTGTCTGGACAACACACTTTCACCTCTCCAAGCCAGTCCTTCCTTATCTCTAAATTAGGGATACTATTCCTCATCATGAATTACAGGGATGCAGTTATAAAAATTTCTCTTCTGTAACTGTTTCCACAAAGGTGAAACCCCATGTTTTGCTAGAAATGATCACTTATAAAACTATAGTAATACTTAAAATGTCCTTCCTTTTTATACTCAGCTGAAGGTCGTTACTTATTCGTGTTACAGTTGTACAACACCAAGCAGAAAAAATTTGCTTGTAAAGCAAAGAATCCAGCATAGTTTTTTGACAAGCAAAATTCAGTAGGAGAAATACAAGAATGTGTGCACCAAGAAAAGTTATTGCACAGTAAATCAAAAGCATAAATTTACTGCAACATCCAACTGTGCTCAGTCCCAACACTTACTGATTGGTTTACTCCATTGATTAAACTCCCTTATTGCACCCTAAACAGGCTTTAGAAAAACCTTGTCGCTGAAACCTGATTCTTGAAAGATAATGAAGCATGCTGACATATAACATATTTACACTAGAAGTATGTATACTTGGGTTTATCCATGTGTGTGGAACGGATAAAGAAAAAGCAGTCTTAATTTCATAATTCATTCGTTACAAGTTAGGGATAAAGGATGAGCTTATGAAAAAGATTCTCGGCTGGGTGAAAATTTCTTGTTGGAGCAGAAGGCAGGACAACGTCTCACAGTTAAGATCTTCTAACTGCTGGCTTAGATACATGTTAAAAAGCAAGCAAGAAGGTGCTTAAAAGAACAGGAGGTAATCCACCCAGTTGGAAAAAAAAAAGTTACACGTTAGCATCTTAAACATCATTTACCCAAGGTGATGAATAGGGTTTCAAGCGCCATTAGCATTAGAACAAAGCAGTAATACTCTGTTCCCACACAAACCTCAAGGATTTCAGACAGAAAGGAACCACATTCATTAAATTATTGTTTGAACATTTTGACTTGAAAAAGCACGAGATTTCTCATTGTGTTCCAGCTACTGATGTGCTTTTCAGCAATACTTATGATAAAAAAATTACCTCAAAGTGAGTAGGATTTTGACAATACATATTTTTCTATGCCTGTTACTAATCTTAGTAACATATTTGTCAAATTCATTCAAACCTACTCAAGACTTTCAAGCCAAGAATCAACACAAGAGGAATTGTTCTGTGGTTTTGGTTGAAGACGACCCTCATATGAAGCATGTAATTCCTTGCAGTGGAAGGCGGTATTGCAACCCAGCTAAGAAGTCCAGTTTTTCAAGCAGCACTTCCAGTGAATTACTGAATGAAGGCAAGTTGGAAATGAGTCTACAGAATGGGCAATTGCATATAAAGGATTAAGTATGATGACTAATAATCAGGATTTCTGATTAAACCAGGATCTGGATTCATGACATGCAGAGTAAGACATGACTAATCACGAATGGTTGAAAAATACTTCCAGGTGCCAACTTCCTGCCAATGCACCATTTGCATAAAGAGAATCGTTAACTACAGTAATGATGGGCATATTTTGTTTATATCTTTAAATTTTGTTTACTCCTTTATTGTATGAATGGTCAAGTGTCATTATTCATAGAATGGTTTGGGTTGGAAGGGACCTTTAAAGATCACCTAGTCCAACCCCCCTGCCATGGGCAGGGTCATGTTCCACTACACCAGGTTGCTCAAAGCCCCATCCAACCTGACCATGAACACTTCCAGGGATGGGGCAGCCACAACTTCTCTGGGCAACCTTCTTCCAGCGTCTCACCAATTATTCCTTCTCACCAGCCTCATACGTTATGCAGAGCACAACAGTTATGTTAGCTCAAGTCAGGTGAATTATCTCACTGATTATGGAGGTTATATTAACTAATATAATCTTCAAGCTGTTAATACGGAAAATAAACTCACTGTCTGCGAGTTTTGGGAAGAAACCCCACCATCTCCATAGCTAGTTGTAACCGCTCAAAGTCATGCTTCAAGTCTTCCCCTTCCACAGAAAAGCAGTCCTGTTGGGTTCAAACAGAAATATTAAGCACTGAAAGAAATTAAGATCAGAACACATCCAGATGGCCAAGTCAACACTTCATAAATATCATTTAGTGATCTCCATGCCTTTTATCAGCAACTAGAACATTTCCAATCTGGCGCTGGGAAATGAGATATCCAGGAGGCCCCACTGACTTTATGGGGAATAATTGTGGCTAATTACCCCCGACATCCAGCCCAGGGACAGGGGGATTCACAGCACCATAGCAGATACAGCAAGAAACACATACGCAATACAATAAAAGACCAGGATTAGCTCCAGTGGCAAGGCAGAATTTTTCTTCTTAAATATTAGAAAGAATACACACCATTGAAAGTTTGATTTTTTTTTTAATATACTTTTTTAAAGTTTGATTATTTTTTTAATTTTTTTTAAATCAAGCTCTTTAGGAGAATCTGCTTCTACAAGGACTTTATGGAAAAGCTAACCAGAGTGCACATTTCAATACAACAATTATTTATTGTATACACAAACATTTTTCTCTGTATTGTGTTTTTACCCAGTGCGATGAGATGGTCTTTCAAAGGACACTACATCTCCACCACAAATGCCTTGGTTTGAATAGCCTGGACCTCAGAGAGGAGTACATTGGTATACCTTTTCCAAAATAACATTTTTGGCTAATTTTTCCTGGAGATACATCCTTATTTCCTAGGCTTAACCTTTAACGAAAGAGTTGAGTCGCACCATTCTAAGAGTATGCCGAGAGTTCATCAATGTGGGACAAAGAACATACAAAAAGCATGTGAATTAACAAGATGAAATATGTTACACATTTACAGGCAGTTTATTCCACATTAAGCCCTGGTCCATTAGGAGTTCCTATAACTAAAGAGGAAGAATTCAGTTTTAAAATAGAATTCACATTAATTTCATGTAAAATATCAGTGAACTAAATCCTGCATAAGAAAGGGAAAGCTTTAAATATATTTCTCACTAACTTTATTCTAACTACCAAGAAGTTTTCTAAAAGTGCAAGCATTGAGAGAATTTGAAATCTGCTACATTTATATATTTCTTGGAGACTAATATGTCTGAACAGTTTAGTTTTTCAGATAATCCACAACCTGACAGAAGTCATTGATACTTTCAGGGAAATCCAATGACATTCTGGACCCAACCAATATTGTCCTGCACCAATATTTAGGGAACATAAATGCTCCTTAAATGAGCGTATGAACTATTAATGACAAGTTCCTTCTGCTTTGGCTCACTGTGGGCCCCCCCCTGGATTATCGATTATTATCTCTCACTTCATAGCCCACATTTAATACTTTTTCCCATTGCTGCCTATAAAAATTCCCAGTCTACGAATCAAAATTAGTTTAGTGTGCCTCACACAATACAGTGTTATCTTAAACCTCAGAATAATTTACTAACACTTAAATAGAGGCTTTCTACAAGTTAATCTAGGTATGTTAATTAAAAATTACAGCTGCAGTGGCAGTAACAATTAACTAAGCAGCTGCATCCACATAGTTTCTTTTGGTCATTTGTCTGTAAAAGGTGTTTACCACATGAGCAAGTGTGCACAAACTTTCACACAAATAATTCTGAAAGTCTGCACTAAACAGGGTTACGTGAATACTACAGTGAACATTGTCATACATGTACCAAGTAGTCACAGGATGATGACTGTTACTTGAAGAGACACTTGTACTCACTTATAGTACATAGAATAAATCATAAATGCAGAATATATAGAATGAAGTTATTTTATAGTATCAGCTTTGTGTCTTACAGCACCTATCCACACTTAAAGCCTCACAACTGTATCAGTGATATGTTCTTCATCCCACTCTGTAGCATCATCACAGCAATAGCTACTGATTATCGGGGGAAAATTCTTATTTAAGATATTTATTTCAACATAGGTGACTACTCACACACAACTGCCCTATCCCCTTGACTAAAAGGTAGAGAAGTTCAACAGCACAAGAAAATAAAAAATTTTTTATCGATAGTCCTCAGAGACAACAATTTCATACTGCGCAGACAAAGTGAATTTAGAGATGTTGAGCATTAAGACCGTTTAAAACCATGTGCAGCATCAATGAATGTAGTGTTTTAAATTTAATGAAAAAATAATGCTTGCGTGTTCTTAGGAAATACTAATTGGAAAAGTGAAGCTTTCACCGTCTATTAATAGAAGATTGAAAATTACCCTTTTCAAGAGATGTATAAGGTGTTTGTCTGTATATATTATCCAAAGGAATGCAACAAAGACATCTAGACTAAATATCAGTAAGATCAGCAGGCATCAGCAATGCAATTATTTAAACCATAAAATATCAGGATAAGAAGTTGTCCCTCCTAAACTCAAACCTTGGCCAACTGACTTCCTCAGCCACTACACACATACGCTGAGGAGAACCTGCAGAAGTTTCACACCCACTACGGTGGGACCTGGAGTCTGCAGGACAGTAATATACCCACAGATTCTGCAAATAAGTCTTTTTAAAAACTTTTTTAAAAGATACCAAGTGTCGCTTTTAGTGACGCTCCACATTCCAGGAGACGATTTCATTTTGTGGCATCATTCATCCAAAATTAAGTCACCAGGCAACAGCAAAATACCATAGACAACTCAGAAGTAGCACAATCTATGCCAAAGGCAACTTAATTAATGATTTGCATAACAATTGCCAAACTCATTAATCCACATGGAAAGGCCTTTTGTAATTATCTACTTAAAAGCAGATGCTCTCTGTAGTGTTTCAGCTCTGTACTTTATCCTAATGGATGATAATTATTTTTTTTTTTTTAAAAAAAAGTAGTTTCCTTGATACTAGGGCATTACAAAGTCCATGCCTACAGACCAAACTCGTCATTAATATTCTGCCGGGGCAGTTAGTTTCTCAGCAAAGCAAGTTCCCTGCTTACTATTGTCACATCGAAGCAATCCACAGATTTCCACTGAAGTTTAAAGAGGATATAATAAATAGGGTTTCTTTATAGACTTTATAGTCTGCAGTGGGTTGAGTCCAAGGTTATGGGGAGAGGTCCAGGGTATGCTTAAGAGTGAATCATCAACTGAAGTAAAGATGTGAGTTACCACAAATATCACAGAAAATTATCCCAAGTAAAATAAAATACCAGATAAACAGCCAAATTGTAATGGCACGCAGTTTTGTTTTGCTGTGCAAAAGAAGGACATAAAACATGGTAACCCCCGAGCTGGCAGGGCATTATTAGCCTCTCCAGGAGAAGGTAACAAATGTGGGGTTTGTTTTAATTTTAATTCCTCCAGTCAATTGTCCTAACCCATTCCTTAAGCAATTAAGGTCTTTGCAACCTAGTAAAGTGTATTAAGGTATATAGAAGAGCATCTGCTCTTCACTCCCTGCTCTTGTAGGACCTCTAAGGATGCTGATGTATTAAGGACACCAATACAATATTCAACATTTTTAAACCTTGGGGGGTTAGACTCCCTTTCCCTCCTCCCTTCCTAAGGATTTTGCAGCGTAATCTTGCTGTTAAGACTCTTATATAGCCCAAGTGAAACCCAGGTGCTTCACAGATTACCTTACTCTTCCAGATGCATCAGCTAGAGTTCAGCAACCATTAAGCACACGGCAAAATTAGCAGAAACAACATGCAGCTGATCTGAAACATGCTTCCCCGTGCAAGACAAAACCAACAGAGACCATCACGGGACACACAGACACCCAAAGCACGTTGCCAGCTGAAGACACCACCTCTGACTCGGTTGCACAGGAGGAGCCAGGGAAGGGGAAGAAGCTCCACTGTTCCCTTTTTTGGGTTGATCCATTTGGAAAGGATGATCATGTCAGCAGAACTATTTTAGGAGAGGGAATTGTTTTGGCGTTCTGAATAATATCAGGATTTGATTTTCTCGCAGATGGCTGGGGGGGGATGTTTTGGATCTTGTCTTTTTTTCCCTGGAAGCTGGAGAGCAGACTCACTGCTACAACCATCATGAACTGATGCATCTCTTAGGGCTTCAAGAGACCAATTTGCTGTTTTATCAGAAAGGAATTTCAATTTTCACATTGCTGCCATATCGCAATTTCCATAAATAATCATGTATTATATCAAGAAGGAACAAAAAAACCCCTTAATTTGCTGAAACTAGATGACCATATCCAACTGTTGAAGAAGCTTTCCAGATGGAATGAACCAAAAAAGGGCAAGGGAAAACACATCTGTATTGTCAATGAGCTAATACACAAGCAACACCACGGCAGGGCAGAGAAAGGGAGAGGGTCATTAATAGGTTAAATTTAATCTGACTTTGTTTTCTGCTCAGGTCTTGGTGCACCTAACAAATCCAAGTGAGCAGCAGCCCTGCACCAGCAACACAGAAGACACGGGTACTTGTACTGACCGGCTCAGAGTCATAGCAATAATCATCCCAGCTCTGTCTGAGGGGTTTCTTTGTCATCTGAAAGCAAGGCAGACCGGGTTAAGTAGTGTTCAGACCAAAACCAACCCCCACTACCTGCTCTTTAACCAGGGCAGTAACGTCAACTTTCCAAGTAAAATAATTGTTGATATTCTGCATAGTCATTCCTTACTTTCTTTTTTTTTTTAAGGTAAGATTTATAATGCTTTTGCATTAATGGTGCTCTGATTCCTGCTTACAGGGTTTTCAAGACAGTGATGACCTCTCACGCAATAAGCTTAATGGATTTTCAGATCTCTCCTTTTTCTCCACAGTTGGAGAAACCTTTGGTTTACCCGGAGCTGAAGAGCTATTGATGGAAAACCGCACTGAAGAGCAGATTTTTTGTTTCCACTCTCAACCTCTGCTCTACACACATGTAAGTGCTGCAAAAGTGCAATTCTCTGACCAGTTAGAAAGCAACACTTGAAAGCTTTTTAGGAATTTGTATCTTTTTCCAATCAGACAGAGATGGAGTTGAGAGAAGTCAAAGCACACGTCAGTGACCAGACCCAAGAGGGAGAGACACGTGGCACCAGAGTTCCTGATGAACTTAAAATAAGGATCTAATCCTGCAAATCACTGATTTCAAAATGTATAAATGTGAATAACCAGCACAGAAAATACTCTGCAAGTTGCAGGGTATGCAATAGTAGGTATATCTGCCATTGGTATGAGGTATGGAGGAGTCATTCAAACTCAGGGGACAGTTTAAGTAAATTTGCTTTTTAAAAAAATTAAAATCTTTTTTTTCAAACCTGCTCCCTGCACTTACAGATCAACAAAATAACCGCACACTTTGATGAAATACCTGAATAGATAATTTCTCATCTGCAATGCAAAATGCACGTTTGTTTTGCATAACACAGTGTGAGCTGAGGAACCTGGGAGAACGAAAATAATGCTTGACTCAAGGACTGAGTCAGTCCTTGACTTAAGGGGCTTGGTTCAATACCTTATAGCTTTTCAATTTTAATATTTAATTTTTTAGTTAAACACTTAGGCTCATTTCTGAGCTTGTTCTTTTTCCTTTTAAAAAGGCAGGGTTTTCTCTAGGACACATTTAAGAAGCTAGTGTAAACGCTCAAGGGTCATTGTATAATTTTCCCCTTTTATGTTTCCAAAGTTTCTTTTCCCATTCCTCCACTACCTCTCCTTTTTTCTCCTTATTTTCCTTTTTCCCCTTTGCCTATAGGGCACGGGAAAGCTGTTACTGTGCTCTCAGAAAGCCTTAATATGAAAGAATGCCCTGAACACATATAAAGGAGACGTTTTCCCATAGTTGTCAGTCTTAAATGGTCTCTCTAACACTAACCCTAATTATTAAAAAATTATTGTAATAAAACCCCTAAAAATTCAGACTGTCAGTATTGTCCATACACGGTGTTTAGGCAAGTCCAGAGTCTGCTCCCCTGATACACTGGATGTACTTCAGCATCCTTCTCCAGCCTACTTGCCCACAGCATCCTAATTTCGATTAAAATAAACATTTCAACCTAAATTATCGCATTCCTACTAGTTCTACACACTACATGCCATTGGATTTATAATTTTACTTTAAATATTAACACCCTTAAGCTGCTATTAAAAAAAAAAAGGACTGAAATTAAAAGCAATGTTTTTGACTAACATAAAACTGCTGGATTGCCCAACAAAACCTGTGAATCTGACAAAACATTCGATCCAAACGATCTTGGCACTTTCCCACTGCAAAATGGCAGTGCAGATGGTCGTGAAGATCACACCACGTTCTCCAACTAATGCTTGAGGCACAAAGATAGTGAGCAAAAATCCTTCAGCTCTTAATATGTTACTCACTTGTGCAAATTTCCTGATCCTGCTAAGAGTGGGTGGGAGTCGTTAATATTACAATAGATTTTGGCTTTGATAGCTTTAAAAAGATCTTTAAAAAGCCCCGGGTAATTGAGATATATTGCAGAGTTAAATTATACTTCTAGAAAGACTAAAGGCTATTTGGGTTGCACTGTGCATACAAGTTTCTCTCCAGATTATGGGTTAAATCACTCTTTATTGCTAATCATGTTTCAGCTCCAAGAGAATTGCAATTAGTTAAAATCAATGTACAACCTAACTACCCTTCCGCATATTTCTACTCCTTTTTTCTTTTTTTTTTGAGCAAAAAGCAGTAAAGTCCCTATTCACAAGCATCAGTGGACAACTGCATCTTAAATACCTGAAGTAAACCAGATTTTCCAAAGTATGAGTTTATCTGGCCATTGGTAATACCTCACTCATTTTTAGTTCACACATTTTCAATGGTTGCTGTGGTTTTATTTATATTAAACTTATTATATTGTTAAATTCAAAGGATCATGCTACCAGCCAGCCATGAAGCTACAGAATTAGGACTACCTCATGCAAGACGTTATATCCTGAAGAGCTACTATATCACACATTTTCCCCTCTTCTCCTACTCAGCAGACAAATGTTAATGAATAAATGACATTCACAAAGATAAAAGGTAAATTATTACTGTTTCTCCCTTCAACAATTAAAACCACAATACATTTAACATATCCCAGGTAGAGGACAAAAATGGAAAACACTGATTTTTTTTCTTTTTTCGTACTAGCAGGTGTTCAGATTGGCAATGCAGAATTTTTCCAATGATGGAGGGCTGCCTATAGAACATTAAGACAACCCATTTTTACTACTCCACACATTTTCTTTATTAGCATTAAATATCAGCAGTAGAAAAGGCAAGACCGCATATTGTATTCCTGTATAGTATTCCCACCTGGTTGAGGTAATGATATTCCTCAGGCTGCTTCAGATGAAATGCTGATCTCTCTTCCTCACTTGCTCCTGCCAGGAGGTAATAAAATACATGGTAGTTCCTGGTGACAATTAAAAAAAAAAGTTAAACTTCAAAATATATAGTAGCATTAAGCAGAGAAGCGTATGTAAACCTCATAACCTGATTTTCCAGCTTCCAAACTCAGACCTGAACACTGTTTAGAAATGGCCCATACCCACTTTGCAGTGATGTAAAAGATTAAATTAAGTAATGGAGAATGAGATCCCTCTTTTCCATCCAAGGACATCCACTGCCCTAGAATATACTTTAAGAATTCCTAGCCAACATTGCCACATTTTCCTTCAGAAACATGTGCAATGCCTACATATTTATTAGAATCAAAACAACATATTTCCTTGCAATACAGAAATTATTTTTTTTAATACCTTATTACCACTAAAAAGGTAATGATTTTGCAGTTGCAGTTCTGTAAGACAGAACGGAAAAATCTTCAATTTTTACAGCTACTTAAATATTCAAAATACTTGAATATTACTAATACTAAAAACACCCCAAGTGACACTTCTCTGTTTTGCTTCAAGACAACTCTAACACAGATTAACGCCAAGACCGTAGGAGTATTTCTAAAATTAAAACTTTGCTTTTATGTTGGATGCTTTCCAAGAGGAACTGAGGTTAATCATCTTGCAACACTCAAGAGTACATTTGTCAAGGCTGTATATGCTACTTAACTTCAGGATCAGCCCATGAGCATTTGAGAAAACTTCTCACACGTCTGTCTCAAAAGGGAAACACAGACAGAAGTGCCAAGAGTTGAAAGACAACTAGAAGCAACAAATTTATTTAAAATCAGAGTAATAATTACTGAGAGAGGAGTATGTAACAAATAATACGTTGCAATTAGGAAAGAACAATTTGCTTAAATTTGTTGTCGATACAATTTTAGCTTTTTCTAGAGGCTCTTCTGATGGCTAGTGTGTTAAGAACAGTAAAACAAAACTAAAATACCATCTCCCCCCCCAACTAGATATTAAATAGCTTACAAGCTGTACAAGAAAATAAATGGTACATAATAAGCCATATGACATGAATCATAAAGACAATGGAAAATATAAGTCAAGGACTGTCAATAAAATAACGGAGTTTATTTTCCCTGGGTTACAGTACATCCCTCCCTAAACAGCAAAATATAAAATGCATCATTTATCTTTGAAGCACAGGGTTGAGCAGTGTGAAAACCCTAACCCCCTCTGCCAGCCCAAACAGGGTTTTAAGCTATCTGTGCCACGCTATCAGCATATATAGAAGTCAAAACCAATCCCGTAAGCAAAACATAGGCACCTACCGTTCATTGTGCTCCTGATAGACTAGTCTTGATTTCTCCAGGAGGTACTTTTCAACATAAGCTCTGGAAGGAAAAAAGAAAAGTGTTATTCATTGACCCAATATTTGAATTAAATGAACATAGCTTACCAGGACTTTTCAGTCTTAGTACGCACAAAAAAAAGTTTCAGCCTTGTTTCACTTAGTTATATAAATTTCTTCCTAGGCAGAACAAGTCCAATATTATGTTTGGCTTTTGAGGTTTTTTTTGTCTTGATACAAAGCCAACACTAACTTGGATATGAAAAACACGATCTCAAATGCATTAGCCTATGGGCAGGGAGCGCAGGGGGAAATTTTGACAGCAATGAAGAATCTTGGATACCTACTTAATCCAAAGCCAGCAAAATAAAATTGCTTGCAGACCAAGATTTGCGCACACAAGAAACGTATCTGGGTGCAAAAGTTTGCAAGATCAGATTTAGCTGCAGAATCGGTCCGCAAATCACCATTCCCTCTTCCAGAAGAGCCACTTCTCAACAAAAACTCAGGCTATTAACTTGTAGCTATGGTCTAAAAAGTAAGCAATTGCAAAAGCTCCTTATTGGAGTTTACATTTTATCCTAAGAGCATCCATAATAAACATGCTTAATTTACATATTAAATACTCTTTTCAAGCTTGTAAAGCTAAAACAAGCTTCAACAGGTTTTTTCTTCCAAACAATACTAACCAGTAATGATAGGGATTTAGAAACCAGAGTTATAATTGGCAGTTTTGATGATGTAGCTGTGCTTTTCCAGCTACAGACGCCCAGTGACGTGGCACCCACATTAGCAGCCACGTATGAATCGGGAAACCCAACAAACCTTGCTCACAGTAGGACAATAAAGGTGCCTCTACACTTGCTTCTCCACCATAGCCTCCAGGTAGGGAAGACAGACCTATTTATTACTTGCATTTCAGAAGTTCTCCCCTCCTTTCACTAAAAACTACAATAAAATAAATAATTTGGATGTGCTGCAGAGGTTTTGTGACAACTCTTATGGCAGCTCTTCGGAGAGGCTACTGGAAATGGCATATCCAACCGCCCATGGGATGATCTTGCTGGATAGGAGGAGTAAAGAAATACAGACAGTAAAGCAGTATTATTCCTCTGTATGATGTGTGCCAAAAAGGTTTATTCTTGTTTATTCCCTGTGAGGAAGCTGAGAATAGTCTATGGATATTCCTCGCCGAGAGGTTTTTTTTTTTATCCCCTTTCTAACCTGAAACCAATTTTTCCTTTCCAAGCCACGCCATAAATTTACTGCAGGCTCAGTGAACAGATGAGAGAAACACATATCAGTGTCCCAGATCCCACTCCCACCCCGGGTAGTAGCTCAGCTCACTGCTGTACGACAACCTGGATCACGTCCGCCGCCCTTGACATTTCATCCCTTCCCCTGTGATTTCTGCTCTTATTACAATTGTGTGTGTCCCACCCCTCAAATCACTCTCATGCAATAATTTAGGTCGGAAAGGTCTTCTAGAGGTCATCTGGTCAAAACCACTATTTAAATCAGGGCAAATTTTTTTTTTTGGTAGGTGCAACTAAAATACTGTTTTGGTAAAATACTCCTTGCTTAGTGTAAAGGTCATAATGAATGCATGTCCCAAGAAGAACATATGTCCCCTCTTGTAATAGGATCGTGAAAAGGAAAACCAATTTAAGTATAAAAAAGTAGATGTCTCCAAGTGTTTTCTTTTTATCTACTGTGGTCAATTATATCAAATTTACCTTTAAGAGTAAAGAAAAGGAGTTCTAAGAGTATGTTTTCATGTCAAATACTAATTTAAGCATGCTACAGAGCCTGTACTTAGCATCCTAGGTAACATATCTGAATTCTGAGACTGAATTTCATATACAATTACCAACATGCAAAACACCCAAGCACAACATGCTTGAAAGCGCCAACTCATGGTATTTGAGATACAGCCTCATGCCATTGCACAGATTTACCATTACACCAGTGCATTGTTGCTTTTAATTAAAATGTCTCCTATCTGGCTCTTCTGCAATTTTATGGAGCGTGTCAGATGTTGAGGCTTTTGATCATCTTAGGAGGACTGAACAGGTTGCAAAGACCTTCCTCCAGAACTCGCTTATCATTGAACAGGACATAATAAATTCATAAAGCCTTACGGGAACGCACTTAACTATAGCCATTGCTCATGCTCCATCAATTTTAAAGACATCTTCAAAGACTTCATTTCATGAGGTGGGGTTGGTGGCTACTAAATCTCTTGGCTATTACATCTCTTAAGTCTTAAGTTTAAATTCACTTCAAGTTTTGGGTCATTATATTCGTAGGGTTTGTAAGCAAATATCCAACTGCTATTTTCAGCCTCCGAACAGAGCAAAATTCTGATTCAGGGCTGCAAATTACAGTTACATTAACAAAGCAAATAATATGCAGAATACAGGGTGATAATTGACTTGGGTTGTGTTTAAAATCTATGCTAAGTTTAAAAAAAAATAAAAATACTTGTGATCTTCTTTGTAAGACTATGGAATAAAATTGTGGTCTTGTATGCCAGGAACAGCTCACAGGTTTTTTTAAATGCCTTTTTATTTTCATTAGGGCAGCACTGCAAGCTTATAGCAAAGCACAGTCACATCACACTGTGCAATCAAGGACCAAGAAAGTGCATTTTTTTTAAAGAGGAGAGAAAATTCCTCTTATTATATGAACTAGAGTATACAAATACAAATGTTACTTGCACCTATCTGCCAAATATAAATAGAGGCCACTTGCACAGAGCTGACATAGCATGCCAAGATAATACAGTGTTAAGGCATTTGTTAGATTCACGTTACCCTGTATTTCAGTAGGTATTAAAAAAAATTGAGGCTTATCCTTTTAAGAGAACTGTTCGCCAGAATTAAGGAAGGAAAAAAAAAAGAAAAAGAACATCTGATTTGATGTAGGATGAAAAAACAGCGGGATGGTACACAGAGTACCCAAGCTCACTTGAAAAATTAATGGAAACTATTTGTGTGATACTGTTCTGCTGGAAAACAAGAAAGAAAAAAACTTAAAAGCAATTCTCTAAAATAACAACAATGTCCCAGCAAGAGATCTCTTAGCTAGCTGCAGAAATCATACAACCCCTGGAACGCTACTTCTACTCTTCGTTTTTCCAACTGAGTTAATTAACCTGGACAAAAAGCAGAGTTAACAAAGCCCTGCTCATTTAGAGCTAGCTTGAGTCACTTTGTGATGACCTGATGCCATGTAAATTGTCTAAAGCCAAAGAGAAAGCCAGGCTTAAGTAAGCCCACCCAGAAGGTTTCATCCATAGGCTTCCAACCATGCAGCACTTCTGCTGCAGCCCTCCCCAGGAGAACGAAGGTTTGAGTCACAGCTGGATGTCCCATGAGCTCTGGGTAGCAGAAAAGATGCTGAAATCAACTGTGGAGAACCACAACGGAGATGAGCATCTCCTTGCAATGGCCCGGGCGAAAGAAGAGGCCCTAACTGCTCAAGGGCTGGGTTAAAGAGAGACTTCAGGGTAGAGACAGAAACATATGGGGAATTAGACAGTGATCAAGAAGAGTCTGGCTCCATTGCCTCTGTACCACCCATCAGGCAGCTGGAGATTAAGTCTCCTCTTGGCTTTCTCTTCCTGAGACTGAGCAAAGCCAGCTCACTCAGCCCCGACTTCCTACCATATGCTCCAGTCCCCTAACCCATCCTAGCTAATATGTTCTGCTTTCCTGCCTTAACTGCTATCTTAAGAGGAAAAGTTCCATTTCAGCTTAATTACAAAGCTGACATCATGATTAAGGAGAGCTCGACTGGCTTGAAGCCAGCTCAGGTGTATTCACACTTCAGTGTGCAGCTCAGATATGCCTACATTTTCATACCAATGGATTTAAATATGCTAACCCCCCCCCCCTCCCCCCCCGTTTTGGGAAACGTACTGGCCAAAAAATTAACCTTCTTTTTCATGTACCTCCTACAACGGCCTGTTTAGGCTCCTTGTGCAGGTATGTACAGCATCTTCAACCTGATTCCCACTTACCCTCGCACAGTGCCCGTCTCCTGATAATTCACTTGAATAAATTTGCCAAAGCGACTCGAGTTGTTGTTATGTGCTGTTTTTGCATTTCCAAAAGCCTGTGAAAAGAGAGAGATGCCATCATTACGTTCCAAAAGCCACCACTTCACCTTATTTATATGCACGTCACTAACAACTTAACTTTGGGGATTTTGCTATCATTGTACAATTAATAAAAAGCATATGGTAAAAGTTAGTTGAATGGTCTACAAAATAATACAATGAGCTTCTGGGGACCATATTCATTTTTAATTTGGTATTCATGAAGGGCAGATAAACACTGTTTAAAAATAAAGTGTTAGCTGTATAAGAGAGATTTAATATTTGAAGCTATTATAGTCTATATTAAGGCTGTGCTTTATTCATTTAAATAAATATAAAAGTACACTGCTCCAACAAGACTCTAAATTTTAATGAGCTAGAGGAAGCTGCTTTTTAATTATATATGGAATTAGGGAAAAAAATGCTTTGAAGCCTACTCAGATATTAGACAATGTCATATATAGCACCAGCATAACGCAGAGTATTTTCAGCATTTCAGACACTGTAGTTTTGATTTGCTGCTGCTGTTTTTCCAAAATCAAAATGCTTTTAAGTCTTTATTATGCAAAGCTTTTATTAAAACCCTGCCTTACCGAGGCACCTAATACAGAGAGTCGTTTATTGCCATTTAAAAGAAATCTCTGAACAGAAGAGCTATTGGAAACCTGTAAGAACTGCAGCTCAGCTTCACTGAAAACTGGTATTTTCAATAGTGCCTAAATCACTTTAATAATAATCTGGCCCACAGTGACAGAATCTGTCAAGCTGCCAGGTCCAATTAATGTTTCATTTATTAAACCAGTTTTGATAATCATGCACATTTTCTTCTAAGGCAAACTTATTTGAAATAATTATACGCAAAATAATTTCTAAGTGTTGCATGTGTGTGGACATTGAATTACAATTACAAATACATTTTGTGCTGAGGCTTAATATCAGAGCTCAGCTTGGAGCTTCCAATAGATTTATTCCCTGCTCAGCTATTTATTAGAAAAGATTAAAAGGGCTTTACATCTATAATCTGAAGCTTTTCAAATGACCCTTTCAGATTCAACTTTGCAACTAAAAGCAAAAAATAAAGGCCAAATTAAACAAAACTTTGGCAAAAAGGTATCAGGCACCTTCAGTACCTGCGTGATGCATGCTCTCACATCTACTTTTATCTTCCCGGGCAGGTTTATTTAGCAATCTGGTTAGATTTAATGATTTAAGAACCGAAGGAGGTTTGCTAACAGAATAACAACGTGATTTTTTTCCCCCTATTTGAATACAGGGATTTGTTTAAACTCAGGCTGTTGCATATGAATTTGCTTTAGTTGACTAAAACATGTTCTGGGATAGCTAAAACCTGCCAAGCAAGCTGATTATACTTGAGAGAGGATTTCAGACACACAGCTAAGGAACGCTCCCCTACAGAGAAGGGCTGCTCTTTTCAGGCTGCTCACACCTGTTTTCTGCTTATTCCCCCCCAAAACCCTCCCCACACCCAGCACACCTCCTCTACCCCACCCTCCAGAGGGTGTCGAAGATGCCCACACCTCCAGGTGACCACCAAAGCCCCCAAAACTCTCCTGGTAACAAAAATCCAGGCATCCTCTCCCCCAAAATAGGCGTTTTGGTATTAAAAGACAGGGTGCTAGTTAACACTTCCAAAGGATTTTACCTGTCCTCCTCCAGGTATTTCAGTGAGCAGAGACACAGCAAGAAACTTATAAGCAGAATATGTTGATATTCAACACAAGCCAGTGCATCGCCATATATTTAGATACTCATTTTAAATTATATTAATTACGTTACGAGCATTTCCCTGCAATAGGATCGACTGTAATCTGAGACGTCACATTAAAGTAATATGATAAATTTTCTCTATACCTAATTAATGTTGCTCACTTGAGAACAAACGAGCCAGCAACAATATGAACTTTAATCACCTTTTCATATAATTTAATAAAGAATTCAAGCAAAAAACAATATTAAAAGCATTTTCTGGTTTGGTTCCCTGTACTTATACCTTAAGTAATAGCTTATGGAGAGAAATAAGGTCTGTTTATTAGGATTTCTTTGGGAAGAACCTTACCCAGGAATAAATTTTTTTTATTCTGTAACAAGGAACATTTAGAGTCAGGAGAAAATGTTTCAAATATAGGAGTGGGGAACTGCGAGAGCCCTCTTTTTTTATGAGTTTTTTCTGGATTAACATGCCAGACCACATTATATTTTATAACCCAAACGCCTACAGAAATCATAACCCATAATATCCCTCTTTCATGCATTTTCCTTTACTGCTGATGTAAATGAGAAAGCTCTTTGGATCACATCTTGTTAAAACTTAAGGCTGACTCTATGGCAAAGGCACGCTGGTGAAGGGCCAACAAGTAGCTAAAGAAATGCCTGATGTTTAACTTGAGACAACTTAATACATTTTTGTTTGGTTTACTCACCGGGTTTCTTTAACAGAACTATTGGGCTATAAAAAAAAGTGCTATTAATTCAATTTATGCATGCCTAATCTAGATATACTTGAACAGGACACCATGTCCTTCTGCAACCAGGGCATAATATAATAGTTCAGCCTCAGAAAACACGAAATGAGTTACAACTACTTCCCTAAAACAAATTATCTTCTGTTCGTATTATTTCCCTTTACTGACTCATTGATTCAAAGCTGCTGAGCAGCTCAAGAGACAAAACTCCGTAACAGCATTCCTAAAATTCTGGGGGAGACCAAAGCTTTTACTGGCCAGGGCTCAACATTTTGAAGGAAACAAAATTCAATACATTCCTCTGTAGGAGCAGAGCATCTTCTGGACTCGGCGCTGGTGATTCAACAGTTTAGAGAAGGCAGAGAAATGAGCAGCTCCATTCCTCCTGCCTCCTACCACCCTTCTGCACAAAGAAATGCTTATCATGGACAGCAGGGAAAAAAACCACACCACTAACGAACAGTTTCATAGCTAAATACTTCACGTTCCTCCTTGCCTGATCTCCAAGGCTCATGGTCTCTTCATTTTGGACCAAATATTAATGCAATCTGGATTAATTACAGATTACAGGCAGAATAAGGATTATTTTAATGCCCTTCCTGAAATAAGGTTATTTTCCAAACCCCTGCATCTAGGAAAACACTGCAGTGACTTGCTCTCATATGGCAACGGCAATAAGATGCTGTTATACAGATAATCCTAACTGAATGGCATTCCCCTATAGAATAACAGCTGCATTCCCCTATAGAATAACAGTTTCTGCGGTGAAAGCACTAGTGGAAATACGTGCCTTTGCTGATGTATTTAAGGTCCCCAGCCTTGCCATTCTCAATGAGCCTCTAGTACTCACCCTTAGAGGGAAAAATAAATACATCATTTTATCTTTGGTATATAGAAATAGAAACATATTCATAGACAAGAGTTTTTAAATGGTTTCCCATCTACTTGAAATGTAAATTTAATTTTTTTGAAAGCCGTACCATGAATTTATCAGAAGAAAAGCAAGCCAACTGCTTAAATCTCAATACGGGCTATGTCATCATGGAATAGTTATATTAGTAGTTATATTCCATCGTGGGGCACTGAAGGGACTGGGAGCAAGATTTAGTCATGCTCATTTATGCTAGGGACAAGAAATAGGTTAATATCAGACAAGAGACTGCTGGAAGACTTGTATTCCCTGGTTTACTGTGAATTTTGGAATTAATGAATCAAATGCATTCATAAAGTATGAATGACTTGTAACTGTATAAGCAAGGTGGAAACTCAAAGTGTCAGCCAACAACATAGCAGCCAGGGAAATAAAACAATCATCTGAACTTATGTAAATAAAGATAATATTTGTGAATTAAAATCTTTGCATATATAGGTGCTGGTAAAGGACAAGATGGGTGCAGAGTCCATACAATGCCCAAACAGCCCTACCTCTAATGCACAGGGACTGAGACAGCATAGGAAAAGTCCATTTACCATCATATAACATCAACACAAGGCCAGGGCCAGAGTCAGATGGACATGATACAAATGATGTAACAGCAAGGATTCAATGTACATCAGATGTGCATTCGCATGCTTTACCTATAGCTTCTGTTAGAGAAGCCCAGCATATGCTTCCACAAAGAGTGGTGGTTTTAAACATGACCTGTAATTTATTTCCGTTTTTGAAGGCTATTTTCCCAATATTCTATACATTATGTTTGAAAAAATAATAATTCACAACTGACTTTATTCCAAAAGAAAAAAAGACACAGCAAAAAACCAGCATATTGAAATTTTGTAATTTTAATGTCTTTTTTATGTGACCAGGGCATTCACTGGCTTCCTAAGTTGTTCTCTGTAGTTATGAATTCCTTTCTGCATCTTGAAACGTAAGCAGATGGATGATAAAGATCATTTTTGCTTGTTTTCATTCAACCTGCAACCAAGTACCCAGCACTCTTCTTGTCCTGTTATATTGCTTTTTAACAGAAATATATTGAATTATGGCCAGAACATAAAATGCATCTAGACTGCTTAAGTTAGAGCCTTGCTAAATCCCTTCTCATTATTGCTTCTACCCTGGGAAATACTTTTTTAAATCTGCAGCTCACTGCCTGATAAAACCTATCAATCTGAATTGCACTGCTAAAACCATACAACTTTGACATATCTCCCCCAACTTTTGATTTCTATAAGGAGTCCTAAAAGCCACCTCTATGCAGCAGAGACCACAACACCTAAATAAGTACCACAGCCAAGAAGTATGAGCTACAACTTGAATTCTTGCAAAGTAAAATAGCATTTATGTGAATCCTTCAAGGCGTTGTTCTGCGTGGCCAAGTAATAATACTGAATATTTAGTTTATAGCAATTAAATATGAGTTCAAGTGCTGACACCTTGTTCTTTAATTCTCTCGGTCGTGGCTAGATGTTCCATGCTGCCTAATGAAACCATCGATGCTTTTATGGCAAAAAGCACAAACCACAAAGTATTTATAGCGTTCGTGCTGCAATGCTTGAGCAGAGCTCTCACCAAGAATGACCTGCAACCCTGA